ATAATGAAATTATTTTTTATTAAGTACTTTTCGAGTTATGAGGCTTGTAAATTACAGTATTTTGACAAAAAATACAAAATATCTTGTAAAACATTCAATTTTTGGGAATCTTACCTTAATACTCTTATGCATAAAATAATGAGACGAATCAATTGGTATAAAGAAAACACATTGGTTTTAAAAAAAAAGTATGCAGTTGCATGTTGCAAATTACATATTTTTTTTTTTTTAAAGCAACTATGTAATAAAAATGCAATAAAAATGTTTCTCTAGTAATTAAAAAATTTATTTCTTATACACAAGCAATTGTTTAAAACAATTGAGTTTTATTTTAATGTTTACTAATATGATAGTGTTGGACTTCCGTTTCCGGTGCGTTAGACGTTGACACGTGGTGAGAGAGTGAAAGTTTTGTGAGCAAAAAGAGTGGAAGAGAGCAAGGTGGGTAAGGTGAGAGAGAGTGGGTGAATGAGAGAGAGAGTGAGAGAGTGAATGGAAGTGTGGAGGGTATGGGATAAGGAAGGGTAAAAGGGAAAAAGGACAAGGAAAATAGAAAGGAGGAACGAGCACGAAGTATAGAGTGTATAGAGACAGAGGTGGGGTCTAGGAGAAAAGGGGACGGCAGCGCTGAAGCGGGATGGATGGGAACTGGAAGATGGAACTAAAGGAGGGAAGAAAAGTAAGAGAGAGAGGTGGGAGTTTTGGAAACATAGAGGAGATGTTAAAAAGGAAAAGGGGGGAAGGGGGTGAGAAAGAAGGAGAGAGAGAGGGGACTATGTTTAATAAAAGCAAAAAGACACCAAGATCACCAATAAAGGGGAGAGCAGAGGAGGAAGAAGGCATGGGGGAGATAATAAGAAGTTGGAGAGGGGAAATGGAAGAAATTATGAAGGAAATAAGAGAGATGAAGGGATGGAAAGAAGAGATAAGACAGATGAGAGAGGAGGTAAGAGAGGGGGTAAAGGAACAAGGAAGGATTATGAGAGAGGAAATAAGAGAAATAAAAAGGGAATGGGGGGAGCGGGAGGAGAGATGGCAGATAGAGAGGGAGGAGATGGTTAGGAGCATACAAAAATTGGAGAAAAAAGTAGAAGAGATACAAAGGAGTAAAGGAGAGGAAGGGAAGGGGGAAGAAGAAGAAAGAGAGGGCAAAAAGGGGGGAGTAGAAAGGAAAATAAGAGAGATAGAAAGGAGGTTGGAGAGGAAAGAAAGGGAGGAGAGAAGGAGGAATATAATAATAAAAGGAGTGGAAGTGAAAGAGGGGAATAAAGAGGAAAAGAGGAGAGAGGCAGTGGAAGAGATCCTGAGGGAGATTGGAGCGAAAGTAGAGATAAAGGAAATCAAAAAGGTAGGGGAGAGTATGGGAGAGGGGGGAAAAATGATAGTAATTAAATTGGGAAACGAAGGACAAAAGAGAGAAGTTCTGGAAAAGAAGAGAAGTCTGAGAGGTAGGAGAGAAAGAATAACAGAGGACAGAACATAGAAAGAAAGGAAGATGAAGTGGAAGATAGAGGAAATAGCAAGGAAGGAAAAAGGAAGGGAAGAAGAGTATGGGTAGGATATGGGAGGATAAAAATAGATGAACAGTGGTGGAGTTGGGATGAGGAAGAAAAGATATTAAGGGACGGGAGGGGGAATATAAGAAGGAGCAGGGGGAAGGGAGAGAAGAGAAAATAGAGGGAATAAAGTAAAGGAGGGGGGGAGTGCAGAGGGTAAAGGAAAAAGAGATAGAGAAGGAGGATGGAGTATAGTATTCTGGAACGTAGCAGGTATAGAGAATAAAGATAAAGATTTTTGGAGAGGATTGGGGAAGTGGGATATTATAGTATTATTGGAGACATGGATGGACAAGAAAGGGTGAGAGAGAATAAGAAGAAGGTTACCGGGGGGGAGTATATGTGGGAAGCGCAATTTGCAAGCAGAAAGAATAGGAAAGGAAGGGCAATGGGGGGAATGATAATGGGAATAAGAAGAGAGATGGTAGAAAAAGGGACGAAGATAGAGACAGAAAGAGAAGGGATAATAGTGGGCAGAGTGAAGCAAGGGAAGGAAAGATGGAGGGTAATGGGGGTGTATGTGAATAAAAATATAGAGGAAAGATTACAGGGATTGGGGAGGTGGGTAGAGGAAGCAGGAGAAGGTATAAAAACGATTATAGGGGGAGATTTCAATGCAAGAACAGGAAGGGAGGGGGGACGTGTGGAAATAGAAAAGGAGGATAAGGAGAGGGAAAAGGGAAAGAGGAAATCAAAGGACGGGAAAGTAAATAAGGAAGGAAAGATATTAATAGAATTTGTAGAAGAAAGGGGATGGAGCCTGTTTAATGGAAATATGGAGGGAGATGAGAAGGGGGAATATACATTTACAGGAGGGAAAGGCAACACGGTTATAGACTATGTGATGGGGAATGAGGAAGTGAGGGAGAGGATAGAGAAAATGGAAATAGGGGATGAAATAGACTCAGATCATCAACCGGTGAAAGTGAGAATAAGAGGAGAGGGAGGAAAAAAGGGTGGAGCTAAAAAGGAAAGGAAAGTTGAGAGGGGAAGATGGGATGAGGAAGGGAAAAGAATATTTAGGCGGAAACTGGGAAAAATAGAATTAGGAAAAGAGGATATGGAGAAGGAATGGGAGGAACTGGAAAGGAGATTGAAATTGGCAATAAAAGAAACGGAGAAAGAACAAGATAAGAAAGAAGAAGGAAAAGGGGGGTGGTGGGATAAAGAGTGTGAA